GCAGCCGGATAGAAATGGGGAAACTGAGGCAGGGTGTGGAGGGAAGGGGGGGTTCTTTTGCTTCTCCCTCCACCCAAACCCACCCCCCAGGAGGGGGGTTATGATGTGGGGGGGGGTGTACCATGCTTACATTGATGGAAGGCCAGGACTGAGCGTGCTCTGCCCGCGCGTAGGCAGCGGCCGTCCGGTGAGCGGCCTCGGCGTCGGGGACGGGGAAACCGGCGCAGAAGGACGCGCAGCGGATGGCCCCCGCCTCGGGGCTGGGGGGGCTGGGGAGGGCCCACTCCTCTTCGTCCGAGGATTGCTTCTCGAAGCGCAGGTGCTCCTCGAAAGGCTCACGGGAGCTCAGGGGGGCCCCCGCGCCGCCCCCCAAATAAACCTCTCCGTAGGGCCGGTGCTTGGGGAGGGTGGAGGCTTCGGGCTGGAGCCAGAGCGAGCGGTTCTGCTGGTAAAGGGCCACGTTGGTCACCTCCGAGTAGCTGCGGCGGCCCTGGAAGCCGGCTTTGATGTGGCGGCTGGAAGGTTTGGCGTAACCCAACTCCATCCTCTCGCCGGGCAACCGGTGCGGTGACGCCGAAGCCGGGGACGGGCAAGGTGGTGGCACCGGTGACCGGCGTTGTTGGGCAGGGGACTGGCTGGAAGGAGGGGGGACCGGGGAGCGCCGCTGCTGGGCAGGGGACTGGCAGGGAGCGGGGGCTGGCGAGCGGCGCTGCTGGGCCGGCGACTGGCTGGGGGGTCCCGGCGAGCGACGCTGCAGGGCTGGCGACTGGCACTGAGGGGCTGGCGAACGGCCCGGGGGGGCTGGCGAGGGGCATTGGGGGGCGGGCGAGCGGCGTTGCTGGGCTGGGGAATGGCACTGGGACAGCGGGGAGTGACGCTGGCCTGCAAAGGGAGAGAAGGGTTGGGGGGAACACAGAAAATGACCCCCCCTCCATCAGCGAGGTGGTGGCAACAGAAAATAGCCCTCCTCAGCCATGTGCATCCCGGATGGATGGGGGGGATGTGGGTGTGGGGACCCTGGCAGGAGGGATGCTCCTGGAGAGGGATGGTCCCAAAGAAGGATGGTTCAAGGAGGGATTCTCTTGGGGAAGGATGGTCCTGGAGAGGGAAGGTCCCAAAAAAGGATGCTCTCTAGGAGGCTTTCTTTTGGGGAAGGATGCTCTTAGGGAAGGATGCTCTTGGAGAGGGATGCTCTCTAGGAAGCATTCTCTTGGGGAAGGATGCTCCTGGGGAAGGATGCTCTTGGAGAGGGATTCTCTTAGGGAAGGATGCTCCTGGAGAGAGATGGTCCCAAAGAAGGATGCTCTCTAGGAGGAATTCTCTTGGGGAAGGATGGTCCTGGGGAGGGATGCTCCTGGGGAGGAATTCTCCTGGAGAGGGATGCTCTCGAGGAGAGATTCTCTTGGGGAAGGATGCTCCTGGAGAGGGATGATCCCAAAGAAGGATGCTCTCTAGGAGGTATTCTCTTGGGGAAGGATGGTCCTGGGAAGGGATGCTCCTGGAGAGGGATGGTCCCATAGAGGGATGCTCCATGGGATGGACACAAGCAGGAGCTCAGCACCAGCCAGAGGAGGAAGGCAGCCAGCATGATATCCCCATTTTTGGCATCCCAGCCCCATCCAGCCATGGGGTGCCAGCCCCCCCCCCTTCCCCGGACCCCCCCTTACCGCCGTTGAGGCTCTTCTCCTGCAGCAGGGCGCGGAGGATCTGGCTCTGCAGGGAGCTGAGGTTCCTCAGGCGACACAGCTCCTCCGTCAGCTCCGTGTAGGCCAGCGCCAGGTTCACCCTGTGGTGGGGATGAAGTGTCACCGAGGGCAAAACATCCCCCGTCCCCCAGCTGGGATCACCCCCCTCCCCATCCCTGCCATGGGCATGCCTCAAACTAACCCAAATTCAGGTTTTTTAACACAAGAGGGAAAAGTTGTGGCTGTGCACTGTACCCCAAGCACCCAGGAGCGGGAGGGAGATGGGTGTCATGGTGTGTCCCCCCCTCCCTCCACCTCTCGGTGGCCCTGACAAAGTCGTCAATTCTTCCCCAACTTCGGTGTCACTTTTCAAAACCATATTCTCCGCGGTGATGTGAAGGGAGACGCCGTCTCCCGTGGGCCCCGGGGGGGCTGGGGGCTCGGCGCCTCCACACGGAGCGTTCGGCTGAGCCGTTGTGACACCCCCGGGGACACGGAGACACCGCTTGTAACAGCAGCCGACAGGGCTGGCCCTGCCCGGCCTCCTGTCAGCTCCTGGGGGGGCAGGGGGGGGAAAGAAGAAGGGAAGAAAAAAGAAAGAAGGGAAGAAAAAAGAAAGAAGGGAAGAAAAAAGAAAGAAGGGAAGAAAAAAGAAAGAAGGGAAGAAAAAAGAAAGAAGGGAAGAAAAAAGAAAGAAGGGAAGAAAAAAGAAAGAAGGGAAGAAAAAAGAAAGAAGGGAAGAAAAAAGAAAGAAGGGAAGAAAAAAGAAAGAAGGGAAGAAAAAAGAAAGAAGGGAAGAAAAAAGAAAGAAGGGAAGAAAAAAGAAAGAAGGGAAGAAAAAAGAAAGAAGGGAAGAAAAAAGAAGAAAATGGAGAGAAAAAGAAAGAAGGGAAGAAAAAAGAAGAAAATGGAGAGAAAAAGAAAGAGAAGAAAAAAGAAGAGAAGAAAAAAGAAGAGAAGAAAAAAGAAGAGAAGAAAAAAGAAGAAAATGGAGAGAAAAAGAAAGAGAAAAGAAAAAAGAAGAAAATGGAGAGAAAAAGAAAGAGAAAAGAAAAAAGAAGAAAATGGAGAGAAAAGAAAGAGAAAAGAAAAAGGACAGAGAGAGAAGAAGAGAGAGAAGAAGAGAGAGAAGAAGAGATCTAAAAAAAAAAAAAAAGAAAAGAAGAAAAAAGAAGAAAATGGATCTAAAAAGAAAAAAAAAGAAAAGAACAAAAAAAAAGATGAAGAAATGAGTGATCTATAACTATGGCTATTTATAATAACAAATAGCAGAAGAAACAGGTTATTATGGAGCTCTGGAGTGTGTGTGTGGGGTTGTAGTACACTATAAGCTAACATCCAAAAAAAAAAAAAAGAAAAGAAGAAAAAAGAAGAAAATGGATCTAAAAAGAAAAAAAAAGAAAAGAACAAAAAAAAAGATGAAGAGAGAAAAAGAAAAGAAACTGAAAAAGAAAGAGAAAAAGATGTTTCCCCAGCCGAGTCCCCATGTCACATCCCCAGAGTCCCCGCGCACCCAGGGACATCCCCCGACACAGCTGCCCCCCAAACACCCCCCCCCACACACACACACTTTCTGCCCTGATGCTCCCACCTCTCCTGCCTCAGTTTCCCCCGTGCCCCATCGTGGGGACCCGGCGCCGAGGCTGCGACTCCCCAGAACAGGGGGGGGCACCCAGGCTCCCCCCAGCCCTGCTGCTGGATTTTGGCCACTGCTGGGGTGGGGTGGGGGAGGCTGTCACACCAGCCCCCAAAATCACACTGAAGCACAGGGAGGAAGCACCAAAACCGCAGCATTGGGGCGGAGGAGCAAGTGGTGCCGGGGGGGGGGGGGGGGGGG